GTTGGACCGTTTGCTGGAGCGGTCGTCGCCGTTACTGTTGGCCTTGCGCTTGTGGAGCTCGCGCTCGCGTTCTTTGGCTGCCTTCCGGATGTGCTCGATGTTGCGGTGATGCGTGTCGTCAACGTGCTTCACGGCGGTGAGCCACTTCGAGAATGTTGTCTCGAGCTTGGCTGTCGCGTCGCCATCGTAGTCAGCCTGGAGGTCGCTGCACATGGCCACCTCGAGGATGACACGGAGACGCTCGTCGATCTGGTGGGAGTTGGTGCGGAGAGGAGGGAGTTCTGGGCATGGATGGTGGTAGCGAAGGCAAAGAAGTGTTTGTTGATGCCCTGACAGCGGTTGAGGATGGTCATGCGCAACGAGCGCTCCCAGTCGTGCGGGAGGAGCAGCTCGCGGATCTCCTTCGCAAACTCCGGGAAGGTCCCTTTCATGACATGCTCGCGCTCCTCGGCGACCGAGAAGAGGTCGTTAAAGAGGGGGTGGCGGAAGCATCCGATGACATTCTCCATGATCGTCTTGGGCTCGGTGATCTTCTTGATGGTAATGTAGTCAATGTAGGCAAGCTCGAAGTTCTGGAGGATGCTGGGGGTGCATTTGCCGCTGCTCAGGGAGGGGTGTTTGCCCGCAGGGGCGTCGAGGACGGCGGTGGTGGACATAGTGAGAGCGGCAGTGGGAGTGTGCAGGGGTGAGCGGTCAGAGTCAGATGAGCTGGACGAGACGGTCGAGTCGGGAGAGGGAAGCGGCGAGGGGGTTTTGGGAGAGATCTCCTTATCAGATGGGGTCTTGGGGGGTGACAGCGACAGCGATGCCTGGATAGGTGTTAAGGGTAAGGGGAGCGATGAGTCAGATGACTCAGGGATGTGGGAACGAGAGCGAGTGAGGAGCGGGGTGGGAACGGATGGTTGGCGAGAAGATGAAGCCAGCATGGGAGACGAGTAGGTGCGGCGGTGCACGAGTACGAGTGGAGGAACCTGCGGTGAGGTTGTTAGCATCGCTTCCACGGTGGGGTAGACGAGCTAGGCGGTGGGGAAAGGCAGGGAGAGAGACGTGGGGCGACGGGCGCACCCAGATCCCTTATCAATGTATATTGATGGGTTTTTGCGCGGTGGCGGAAAGAGTTTGATATTTGTAAAAAAAGTGGAAACCTGGACGTACCAGGAAACACTAAGAGTCGGCCAAGGTACAAATAAGACCCTTTACAGGGATTGCAAGAGTAGAGCGATTACAGGAGGTACGAGTTCAAGAAGATGGTAGTTAGAAGCGAAAAGGGGAACGTAACGGTCATGTCATGAGCGTGGTAAGTAATGCAGTGTGAGTAGAACCGTGAATGGGTTTACATTTCCTCATCCTCGTCATGTCACTGATCATGGCCTCACAGAAAAATTGCTTTACCTGTTCAAGTGTGGGTTTGGAGGAGAACGTGCTGCCACCCTGACCATCAAGAAGAGGATGCAGCACCTGTTTCACCCTCACACCTGTGAATAGTTGCAGCCTCTGCTCAAGGCACACGCCGTCGCCTTCAAGGCTCAAGGGCCAGACAGGCTGCTCAAAAAATCACTGGGCGAGAATGGTGCATGCTCCTGCCCTCAGCAAACCCTCCACCGGGTCCAATTGATCCTCGACCTCCCTGTGCACTTTTCCACCTTCTTATAGCTCCACTGACGCCCAAATCCCGAAAAGATAGCACGCAAAAAATGATTGATGATGTTATTATTTATCTTTTTCATAGCTCATACTCATCGATACAAAACTGTCACGATACAAGAATATCTTCAGCATGTTTCAAGTTAGGACTTAGCAGAATTTTATGGGTTCTTTGACCTGGTGCACTCACTGGAATTAATTCCAATTGAGTGTAAAGTTCTGGGATACTAGGTAATCAATTATCTTCCCCGTGAAGTCCACATATATTGTTCCAGAAGGAGAGGTCTGCATAACCACCAGTAGTTCCAGATGTATTAAATGACTAAGCACATTATTGAAGTCACAATGTGATTCTGCGTGACTTTGTGTTGTTGACCTCTTCTCAATGTTCACTTTTCTCCTTGCCATCTCTGTTGCGATGCTGCATCTCTGAGACACATGGTGAGGATCTAGTATATTCTGTGTTTATTCTCGGATCCTACCTGAATCCCTCCGTTTCTGCCTCAAGACCCGGATGCTTGCGCGATATCAACACCATGCAAGATCAGAGGGAAAGGAGATAAAGGAAATTTAGTTGCCACCCACTTTTCGCCCTTACTAGCTCTGTATTGTCTTGTGCCATCTTCTGCATCTAGGGATGTTTCATTGGACCAAAGTAAGTTTCCCACGACATTGACTCTGCTGGCTTCCTAACTCTGCAAACATTTCCTCACGACTTTGGTACCTTTTCCTCTTTCCCGCCTTCTGGTCCCTTGGTTTTCTCTCAGTCTTGGAGCCTTTTCCTTCTGCCTTGGCTTGGGCCCTCAATTTCTTCATTTTACAGCTCTGATTTTGATGGTTTTTTTGCGTTTTGTATGTTCCTGGTCTCACCCCTGTCGTTTTTCCATGGACTTGTTTGTGCTTTCTCGGACCAGTGCATCGGCGAAGCTGTCAGGCGAAAGAAGAATCAATGAATATATCCCTTTGAGGAAATTAAGTTGCACCAAGCAGACGAGACCACAGATCCCGCCCCAGTTGGTGCCAGTAAGAAATGTGATCATGCATACAACCATAAATTTTACTGGAAAGAAGACGCGAATATGGATCGGGAAATGTGACAGCGCTCGGACTTGTTGGCTGCCTGCTGCGACCTCTCCCTTCATGTCCCTCTCCACCGTGATTTCAATGTGCTCTGAGGAAGAAGGGCAGGTAACTGTCTTGCCTTCTTCTCATCTTCTGTGCTGAGTCATCTTTCCAGGCTGGGCAGACTGGTGTAAGTACAGTGTGATGTGGACTGCGGTTTCGTAAACTGCTGAGCGTGGTGGTAACCCGGGCTAGTTTAAAATTGTACATTCTCTAGGGGTAATATTTCTGTCACTGTGAACAGTGCACCTCGGTGCTAGGTTTATTTAATTCAGAGTGTGGTTTTATATAGGAGGTGTGTGGTTCTTCAGTAAAGAAGGAGTATTTTACAACTGGTTACTGCATTTTAGTGCAATAGAACAGTCTTCTCAGCATGCGCCGTCAGACCGAGCTGTACAGCCTGTCAAGCAGGGTCAATTCAGCACGATGCTGGCTTCGAATTGAGGACACTGAGGTGGAATATGTGTTTTTAGAGGGCCTCTTTGGTCGTATAATCCGACTCTGAAGGTATTTGGTGTGTAAGTCGTCTTTTAGCTGGGGCAGAGGTTGTTTTAACAAGCTCGGTTCCTTGGCCGAGTGCTCTCTTCTTTTAACCTCTCCATAATATATATTCCAACCAATCGTCTCCTTCTTTTCTTCTCCTATCTGCCTGCTGAGGGCAAAATAATCCGATCAAGGCTAGCGGCTATACGCTGAACTTGGCTGCATCACTTTGTGTGAGGGTGTTTCAACTACCCTCTTTTAGTGAGAAAGAGAGTTGGATTGGATAGGGAAGTGTAGAGCTGGGCTTTGAAGATAACCTGACTTTGCTAACAGATGGCTCAGTGTAGGAAGGAATATGTCTCTGAGGAGCAAGAGAGTGTTTTCCGGTGATAACTGTTTGTTTTGGGTGAGACCGAGTTGTACTTTAGAGCTTTTAGAGCTTTAGAGGATGTGGGTCCAAAACCGAGATCGTTTTCTATCAGCGTACAGGCTGTATTTATACTCCCCATATTTTGCAGCCGGCTCTCCTCCCTGCTACCCGGATAACACCACACGTCCTTGTGCTACTCCCCCCCCACGCCCTTCCACAGCCCTCCTTGCTTGGCTCCTTCTCCACTCAGTGCCTACTCATCCAACTTTTGTAATATCCGCTCGGTCTATGTCCAAATGCTCCTTCTTCCCGCTTGGCAACCCGTTCCCTGTGCTCAGTACACATTTCCCCCGCTCGCCGTGTGACAGACTGGCTACACCCAGATCCGTAGGAAGAAGTGGTTGTGTCATCACTGGAGGTTCCGATGAAGAAGCTTGTCTGGAGATGTGCTCCTTTGTGCGGCTGCAAAGTCAGGGATTCACATCACAGGCTCCACATTGGAGGATTATAAAAGCTTTTTTCGTCAAAAAATATGTACTATTAGTAGCACAACACTGAACTTCTTGCATGGTACCTTTACAACATGAACATTGTACAATTGCAAGTGAACAATGTACTTGGTGGGAAAACATGCTTGGTCACATGTCATAATAGCACGATGAAATCAGCCAAATAACAGGCCACAAAGGGGAGGCCCAATGGCCACTGACATACACACATCTGTGGTTTGGGTGGAGAGAGCACTCTCAATTTGACTTGGGAGATCCTGTGAAAATTACACCACTTTGATCTCTTTTCTGCTAGCCATAGGTTTCAAATTGGAGGCTTCAGGCAAGCATTTGAAGGCCAAATATCAAAGCTCTCCCTTTCGCAAAATAATAAAATAAAGAGTGCCCATTTTGGACCGGGAAACCTGAGTGGTTACAGGCCATGATCACCGGAGTCGAAAATCCAGTGATGAACTTCAAGTTCAACCTCGAGTTCAACTCACTGGTGCATGCATTATGTACATGCACAAACTTGAGACCTAGAATGTTCACAATTGATGTACCTGCAGCCACAGCAATGTTCATTTTACAGTTGAATGTACAGTACACTGAAGATACCTCATGTGCACTGTACAATGTTCCCCAAAGTGCGTAAATAATTTTTGACAATAAATACCGTCATAGAGTTCTATTGCCACCCCGTTCAAGATCTGAGACGAGTCCACTGGCCAAGAACTCCCAACCTCCACGTCAATGCTTGGACCGGTCACCTGGTGCTGCCGACTTTACTATCTGGAACAACTCTGGAATATCTTCAGCATGTTCCAAGTTGAGGACTTAGCAGAATTTTGTGAGCTCGTTGACGTGATGGATTCACTGGAAAGGTCATCATCGACCTCTTGGCTCAGTGGTAGAGCATCTGATTCCAGAGAAATTATATTAACTTATGTGTTGATTACGTAATTTGGCCTCCAGAAGGTCGTCCGTTCGATCCGGGCAGAGGTCAGTTTTTGTAAATTTACTCTCTTATACCTTTTGTCATCCTTTGAATAGTTCCTGATATCGCTTTTCGAGTATTCTGACATTATTTTCGTTTTGGGCCACATGGGTCGTCCATTCGAACAGGGCAGAGATCATACCTTTTTTTATTGTGTTGAGCACCTTTTCGTTGTGTCAGAATATCGATTTTTGAGCATTGTGACATTATTTCCCTTTTGGGCCTCGTGGACGAGTTTCCCGATCCGGTCATCCCATCATTTCGCACCGTAGCTTCCTCCTCAACGTAGCGAGCCAGAACTGACCTGCACTCAGCTCCAGCTCGCTCAGAAAACCCACTAAGGCCTCAACCATTTTAAGCTTTTAACTCTACCAACTCGGACTTTCACCCGCCCAAGTAATTTGAAGCAATAACTTTGACACTTAGTAAAAATTGATTAGTAAGTGCCAATCATCAAGCTCCAGCATCCCCAGAACTCAACACAGTAGGATATAATCTTTATTTGAACTCCCTGCCACTATCTATTAGTACCTCTATCGTTGATGCTCTCTCCTCCTCCTTCGCAGCAAATGCATGGTACCCCGACAAGACTTGATCACCGCCAGAATGCAGATGACGGTGCGTCTCTAGCAAATCTCTAGAGGCCCTCAGCGCCAGATGCGCAACGACTGGATATCGTAGAACTGACTTCCCAAGTGCAAGTTGAAACCCGAATGGTTATTCTTGTACCACTAAATTCCTCTCTTAACCCCTGGCCCACCACGGGTACGACTCCATCCCAACTGCCAGCCTGTGCACTGAAGTTGTGCAAACTCCCCGACTGGTCCAAATCCCGTGAAATAGTACCTGTGCGCTTGGTTTCGTTTTCACACTACTGGCTCTGGTCGCATGAAATCAATGCGCAACAATCAGACTTACGAAGGCCCGATGTCGTACATTCGGAAGGGATTTCTTCCTAGTCCTGGACGGGTGAGTTGGATAGATAGACATGACTAATACTCCTAGGTTCCATCTGTGATCTGAATCAGCTGCCTGGCAACGCACGTCCGGGAACGCAAGACATGTCTAGAAAATCAATTGTTCCCGTTGGTAACGCTGATTCGGTGTCCTTGGCAAAATGTGAACCGGGGGCGTCTGAGAATTGATCCAGATCTTACTTCCGCTAATATTATAAGCTAAGACCGACTCAGATCTAGCAACGTGAGCGGGGTCTCGAGGGAAGGAGACTCCCGACCCCAGCGAACGTGCTCGACGTGAAACCGGCCCTGCATTGTACGAAATGGTTAACGGTGGCTAATAAATTTCCGAGGCGGGGGCGATCCGAGGTGGAACGCCCAGACGTCTGAAGAAACCTAGATTATTACAAGCTCGCATTGGTAGAGCACGGGGTTATTTCCGAGTACTACTCCTGTGTTAATATTGGTGTCGTGCGCGACAGTGTTCGGTCCAAGCAAACTTGAATAGTCGCGTCGGCTTAGCAAATGTAGGCAAAAGTGGTGGGACGGCTCATTCCATCACGAATTCTGAGCGCAAGGTGGTCCTGTAAAGATGTAATAATTTCGAGAAATCGAGCCGGCAACTCACGTCGACTCTATTTGCCGACGTTGACAAACTCGTCTGACAAAGTCATTCGCGTTCCCCCACCACGATCTCCAATTCCCTCCATGTTCACTGGCCTGGTACGGGAACTGTACAGCCAACGCCAACGGCAGCGCACTCACCCGCCCACAGATCGAGCACCTGGGCACCGTCTCGTCCGTTCAGCTAGACGACGCCGGCTGCACCCTCACCATCTCCGATTCCGCGCCGGTCCTGGGCGACTGCCACATCGGCGACTCGATCGCGGTGAACGGCGCGTGCCTGACGGTGACCGAGTTTGACGTGGCGGCGCACGGGGGGTGGTTCACGGTGTGGCTCGCGAACGAGACGGTCGAGCGCACGGATTCGGGTGCGTTGGTTACTTGTATTGCGCGGGCGAATACGATCCGGTTGCAGGCGAGCGCAAGGTGGGCGACCAGGTGAACCTCGAGCGGGCCATGGGCGCGCATGTGCGGGTTGGGGGCCATTTCGTTCAGGTGCGCGCCGGTCCTGCTCTCCGTCCTCGGTCTCCTGACGTCCGAGACAGGGACACGTCGACACCACGGCGACGGTGGTGGACCGCCAGCCCGACGGGGACTCGATGCGGCTCACGTTCGAGTTTGGCGAGCCCACCGAGGCGCGGCCGTCCCTCCTCGCGTATCTGATCCTCAAGGGCTACGTGACGATTGACGGGGCGTCACTGACGCTGACTGGGGTGGACGACGTGCAGCGGCGGTTCAGCGTGATGCTCGTCCAGCACACTCAGCAAAAGATCACGCTGGCGAAAAAGGCGGTCGGGGCCAAGGTGAACATCGAGGTGGACATGGTGGGCAAGTACGTGGAGAAGAGCGTGGCGGCTGCACTGGGCGGCGGCGGGGACGCGGGGCTGCGGGGGATGGTGGAGAGGATCGTCGAGGAGGTCTTGGCGAAGAAGGGAATCCGTTGATTGATGATTTCGGTTGATTCTGTACTTTTACTTAGTGGTGGAATTACATGACTGCTCCTCCAACGCGCAAGGCAGGCATCCTGGCTTCTCCTAGACTGTGCTAACCGCCTCCAAGGTGACTGTGCAAGCAGCAGAGTCCTCTCCGCAGAAGAGCTATGTCTCCCGTTCACCGTCGCCGTACAAGTCATCATACACCGTCGCCCCGTCCCCCATCTTCCGCCCAAAGGCAAAGGTCAACAGCAGCGCGACACCCGCCAGCGCCCTAGCCCGCAAGGCCACCAGCGTCCTCTCCACCTCGTCCCTCTCTCGCACCGCATCCGTCAAAAGTTCCGTAAGCGGGAGCAGCAGGACAACTACCCCTCGTTCTACCTCCCCGGCCAAGCAGGCCCCTTCCCCCGCCCCAAGAGCCCGTGCTCCGCTGACGCGTGGACTGAGTGCCCGCGCTGCGCCACCTCACGAGGCCCGCCGACGCTCATTGACCACCGACTCTGCCCAATCCTTCGCGTCGCGCGGCGCCGCTTCCTCCTCGGGTGTCTCCATTTCCGACATCCTCGACCTTTCAGACGATGACCAGGACAGCCCGACCCCGTCCCCGCGAATCACCGCCAGACTTTCTGGAAGCTTTCCAAAGCAGGAGTTCCCCCCGTCCCCTCTGCTGCCCCCAAACTCCTCCCTGCGCGCCCATCCCCACCGCGCACGCGTACCGTCCATCTCGTCCAACGCCTCCTCGTCGGCCGCGTCCGGCTCATTTTACCCCAACGCGGCGGCCGCCCCCACCACTAATCGATACCCGTCTACACGCCCCAGCCCCCCTACGACCGCCCCGCACTACTACCAGCCCTTCCCGCGCGACGACCCCCCGCGGCCAAGTACCCCCGGCCCAACGGCGTCGCCAAGGTCGATCCCACGACGATCCCGCTCCCGCCGCACTCCCCGCCCACGTCCGCCGTGTCCTTCTCCTCGCGCTCCTCGCTCTCGCCGTCCTCGACGTCCTATGTGACCGAGTCGGGGACCAGCCAGCTCAGCGCGCCGCGCGGGGGGAGCAACGGGCGCGACGCGGCCGACGCCAACATGCGCTCCGGGCTCGAGAACCTGATGAGCTTGAGCGAGATGCTCCCGACCACCGAGGACGCCGGCGAGGACGACTACTCAGACGACGACGACGACGAGGAGCGTCCAGAGAACCTCCGGGCGAGCACAGCCGAGCGCAAGGTCCGCGCCGAGGCCAAGTCGGTGCGAAAGGTACGGCGCATTAATTAATAGACCGCAGGCGTGCTTATGCAGACACCCAGATCGCGGACCTCGAGATCACGAACCGCTCGCTGCTCGCGATCAATACGTCCCTCGAGCAGACCAGGCACCGCCAGGCAAGGAGATCCGCGAGCTGCGCCGCAAGCTCCGCGAGTCCGCCTCATCCTCCCGCCGCGCGCGTTCCGCGCGGTCAAGTCGTCGCTCGACCACGACGACACGGCCGACGAGGACGAGGACGAGCCCGAAGAGCCGGAGGAGGAGGAGAAGGCGGAGAAGGCGCGCGAGGCGCACGACGTCATGTACCGCCGCATCAAGATCATCCTCGAGGGCCTGCTCGAGTCGGGCCAGCGCGCGCTCGAGACGACGCCGCAGGACTTTCCCGAGCCCGTCAAGGTCGCCAAGGTCCTGAGCGCGTACGAGGTGCCGTACCTGAGCGACGACGAGGCCGCGCCGCGCGCGCAGATGCCCGCGTCGCCGTCGCACGTCGCGGTGCCGGACAGCAGCGACGAGGACGGTTTCAGGTCCGAGGACGAGGTCGAGGCGATGACCCTCCCCCGCGACTCTCCGTCGCCCTCGCACCCGCCGTCGCCCCAGCCGCCACCGATCCACATATCAGAGCCCCCCGCATGAACCGATAGAGCCTAATTTAACTGGCGCTCTGTACACTAGATAGAACCGGAGAGCGCGCGGATGCCGTCTCATACCCATGCATCCCATTCATACCGCATACACCTATTTAATCAGCATTCTAACTAGCGTTCCGTCCGTTGTACAATAATATACGAGGAGCCCGTCACTCGCTTTCTGCTATCTTCTGCGCCCGCTTCGCCAGCTAGATAAGAGTTAGCAAAACAACAGAGACTTTAGGCAGGGGACGTACAGCCGCGGCTAAATCCCCGTTTGCACCGCCGATTCCGCCCCCAAGTGGTCTAGAGGCCCCGCCAGACGGGGTGGGTCGAGGCGCGCTTGGCACGGCCGGCTTCCCCGGCACCTTGGGCGCGGGCTTGGTGCCGATCGGCGGCGCGGGCTTCGGCTTGGCTGCAACAGGCGGCGGTGGCTTCGGGGCGAGCGAGCTCCCCGGCCGCGAGCTCGCAGGCGAGTCGCCCGACGAGGACGACGCAGTGGGGGCCTTCTTCCACGGCTGCGCCGACCCGTTCGCGGCCGCCATACCAGGAAACACGGATACCGGCTTGGCGGATGCGTCGGCCGTCACTGCGGTAGCCTTGGGGGGCAC